TCCAATAAAATATGCTTATTAATGTAAAATAAATATTTGGGTCAACTGAGCATTACAAAATAATAATTAATAATTTATTTGCATCAGCTGAATAAGTTCTTGAAATATAGAAATATGAATATGAATAATTGTACGGGTGATACTGCGCAACGTATGGCGCAGTAGGTTCACAAAATATAATATTAAAATAAAAATAGAATGATGTCATTATCACGTGATTTCCGCAGTGATTTGGTTTGGTTGGATCGGCGAAGTGGGGACCTACCTCTCCATCGGTCCTTATTTTACTATCTCACATCACTATAGTTAATTATTGAAACGATTCACCAATTCTTCACAACACAATATTCCAAGAACAAATAAATGGTTTAATTAATTTATCATGTAATTGTATCTTCATTGACATATATTGTTTTATTAATAATAATAAAGTTTATATATTGTAAACTAATTTGTTTTTTTAAAAAAAATAGGGATATCAAGAAATAGATGAGGAATAATGTACAGGAAGGCTTGATAGAAGAATATAAGGAGCAGATGACATATTTGTGGAAAAGGAAGAGGATCTAGTGATGTGGCCTAGTGTTCCATGTCACAATCCAAAAAAAGGAAACAAAATGGTCATAAAGGTGGTTGCAACCAGCAGTTGCAATCATTTTTATATGATGCAAAGATGGTAGCAACCATCATCAAAAGTTGCAGCTGGTATCCTTAATGTGGCCAAAACTATTTTTGAAAAAAGGTTAGTTTCACCCAATATTATGGTAGTCCAATATTTTTTATAACAACAAACATATAATAAGCACCTAAATCAATTTACCTTATTTAAAAAATTTAAAAATAATTTCACCTATTATCAAATTAGTTTTGCCAAAGTTTAGGTCAAATAATTTTGGCAATTTTGGCCCACTAAGTAAGGTGGTTTCAATAACCACACCACTAAGAGGATCAACACAAATAGGAGAGACTGAAAGAGAAATAAATGAAAATGCAATTATACAACCTACATAAATAATTGAAATGGAACCATTTACCACTCTTCAAGATGATAATGAAAAAATGAAGAAAGTGGTGCTGAAACAAGGGGTAATGAAATTGAACAAGACGGTGACAAATATTATCAAGAATATGGGCATCCTCAGAAATTAAAATCTGATTTGATTTGATTGTGATTATTTTGGATATTCATAATTATTTTAGATACTTGTATTTATTTTGAATTGAAATTCACAATTTTGGGTATACAAATATTCAAATAGAGGGTAGGATTGACTACAGTTAGGAACCCTACTCTGCAAAAAAAAGCTTTTTTTTTTGTTTTTTTTTTAAAAAATTTAAATTTTTGAATTGTAAATCTTACTCAGAGGTAAGATTTATAAAATAGATCTCAATAAAATCAAATTTTTAATTTCTGAAGATGCCCCTATGATCAAATGATTTGATCAGGTCAATGGTGGACACAAAACAAGACAAATATTTTGAAATTGGCAGGAACTTTATGGTTTAGGCTTAAGAAGATCAGCTTGTGCAATCTCTTCAAAATGACAATCAATGAAAAATAAGATATTAAACAATTATTTGCCCTATAAAAATTTGGTACAGAAAAATGTGAATTTCTGGTAAAATTCTGTACAGTTTTCTGTACATTTTCCTTACCAAATTTTTTATAGGGTTGCATAATTTTTTAATACATTTATAAATATTTTTATGATAAGAATATAAGAAATAATCCAATTTAAAAAAAACACTTTATATTGTGAATATTTAATCATAATATTAATAAAAAAATATTTTCAACCCACTCATCCACAGGAGTTATTATTTTTTAAAGTGTTTTCTCAGTAACTTATATAATAAATGTTGGGTTTTTTGGTACTGAAATGAAGAGAAAACCTTGAATATATATTTATAAACCTTATTTGTAAGTTTTATTTTACTAACCTTCAAAGTGAAATAAAATGTGATGTTACTCACAAAATTATTTTGGTCATTTCTTATAAATAAAATGTACATTCAGACTCCTACACAATCACATCCTATACAATCACAACTCCTATATAATCACTGGGCCTTTTGGTTCTGATTTTTATATATTAAATTTTATCATATACAGTCACTTTCATAGTATAATCACTATCACCAATATTTTCTGGTTCCACTATATAAATATTCATCATCAATTCATGTTATCAATGTAGAATTGAACAAATTGCAACTGACAGAATAATTGAATCTTTAAATCAATCAGATCTTAGTGAAGATTTAGAAATTTATTAGTGATAATTATATTAATGACAATGAATTGAATTTGACAGAAAAGCCCTTAGATGATGATGAAATAGTTCAAATGGTTTGGACAAAGTAACAATGAAAATAATGAATCAGAAAGTGAAGATGTTGATGAACCAAAAATCATTGTGACTAGTGAATATGCTTTGAAAGCAGTAGATACATTGATTGAATGTTTAATGAGAATGATTATAAAATTTAAAAAAATATAAAGGAAATATTGAAAGATTTTTTTCTCAAAAACATGTCATCAATAATCAAATTGTTATGATGGAGAATAGTCAACAAGATGTAAGCCAAAAACGAGATAAGGAAAATTGTGAAAACTTTATTAGACAGAAACAAAGTCATGAGCTAATTACAAGAGGCAAATAAGGATTAGCAATATCAACAATTAAAGAACTGAAAAGGATAAAGATTGGAGATAAAGGAAAAACACAACTATTTAGAGCTTGAAAAAAAGCAATTAAAATATAAGAAATTCTTCAACATTTAAAAAAAAGAAAAGGCTCAAAAATGCTGGTCAGGCTAAAGCTAAAGCAAGGCAAATTTGTATGTACATTTGGATTCATTACTCTAATTACTCTCTATGGAGGATATTGAATAATTAAAAGTTATGTGAGATCACAATTATTGAAATTCAACATGTTTATTTGATCTAATAATGATGATGAGTAAATTCAAAAAAGTTATTATAAATGATTTAAGAAAATCTAATTAATTACATACATACATAATTCTACAAAATAAATAAGAAAAAAAAAGCTCATCTAGAATGTGCAATGTTAAATTTATTTTTTAAAGATTTTTCTATTTTTATGGGAGAGGTTATTGAAGATGATAAGGAGGATTTTGATTTAACACTATTATTACCACTATTTCTTTTATTAAAATTGAGTCTTTTATTATTAAGTAAATGTCTATTTTCAGAGAAAAACTTTATTGCATTTGTGTTCTTAATCTTGGAAGCAAAATCTAACAGAAGTAAACCTTTAAATTTAGCTAGCAGTATGTGTTGACCACCTTTTTTCAAAATCAACTCAACAATATCTAGTTCTAAATCTAAATATATGGCAGCAAATAAACTGTTTGGCAATACAGTACCCGAAACTGTTATTGAATTGTCAGGCAGTCTTAGATTTGGATCAGCACCAAAATGTAGTAATAATTTGATGATATTTGATAATTGTTGAATTTCAGTTTGGTTTTTAGAATATTTCAATAGCATAAAACACTGGTGTAAAGGTGTTGCACCTGTACAATCTGCCAGATTAGGGTTTGCATTATTCTCCAATAGAGCTGATATTGCACCTGGATCTTTTCTTTTCCAAATAGTTTCATGCAAAGCTGTCCAACCAAAATTGTCAACAGAATTTATATCAACATTGTTTGAGATTAACCATTTTATTGCATTACGAAAGCTTTCGTGTCTTGAAAAAGTTTGTCTTAAAGAAATTCCCATGTTGAACAAATCATCATTCCATGCCAGACAATGAATTGCTGATTTTCTCTTGTAAATATCTCTGCTTACAATATTTATTTTTTGACTTTTCAATCCAAGAAAAACTGTTATGATCTTCTCTGCTGTTGAATAACGTGCTGCTTGAATTATCTTTGGTTGATTTTTATTGAAAAATGAATTTGAACTTGAATTTGGATCAGCTGATGCTGTTGATTTTGTATTTGAAATTGAAATTGAAATTGAGGCTAAGTCATCACTATAAGGGTCAGTGTTGTAGCGATGATGATGATGATGGGGATTGGTGGTGTGAATTGTTTCAACACATTCAGTTGAAGAAGATCTAAAAAGTTTGAATTTATCAAAACTTTTCCTTTTTTTTTGTTTTAAGTCTACTGAATGTGTTGATGTCATTGATGTTGGAGTTGAAGGTGAAGGTGTGATAGATGAAGGAGGCGAATATTGAATTTCATTATAGCCTTCCTTGTTATTAAAATTAAATGCATCCTTGATATTATAGCTTTCTTTGCTATTAAAACTATAATTGCTGTTGTGACTTTCTTTGTTGTTGTAGCTTTCCTTGTCAAGTACAACATAATCTTGTGAACTATTTATAGACTTCTTCCAGCCCATTGATTGCACTCTGGGTAAAATATTTATACCAATATCATGGCTTTGATTATTACTACTGCTGCTAATATTACTATTACTACTACTACCACCACTACTACTACCACTAATTATAGGAGGTGACGTTGGTGACAATCTATTACTAATATTATTACCACTAATACTATTAACACTACTGCTATTATTACTGCCACTATTATTATTATTATTGTTGTTGTTGTTGTTGTTGTTATTATTATTATTATTATTGTTATTATTATTATTATTATTATTATTATTATAATTAAATTCAGCTTGAATATTTTTCAAAATTTCAATCACTTGATTAATTAAAGGTCTTCTCATAGGATCAGCATCCCAACATTGTTTATACAATTGCACATAATTGATCGGGGCACCAGGTACAACCAATTGTTCTCGTTGACCCATTGTAATCATTTTCAAAACCTTCATAATATTGTTTGAATTATTATTTGAAGTTGAAGAAATAAGTTTTGATTCAAATGGTGGTCTACCACTTGAAATTTCACACATTAAAACACCTAAACTATAAATGTCTGATCTTTTATCACGTTTATATGAATTATCATGTAGATACAATGGTTCTAAAAATGTTATCATTTCTGATATCGAAACACTATTCCATATATCAGAATACCCTACATCTGAAATCATTGTTCTACCATCATGAATTAATATGTTATTAGGATGCTAAAATTCAAAATAAAAATAAACGGATTTTTAATAAAGCATTATTCATTATGTATAAGTATCATTATAATAACTTATATAAACTTTACCAAATTTTTATGAGAAAGATTTTCCTGGTGTATTGCATAAAGTCCAGTTGCTATCTCATTAACTATTCTAATCTTATCGTTCCATGTTAACTGATGATGATTACGTTGCAAATATTGACGTAATGAACCGCCGTTAGCGTATTGTATTACCATGTAATAATTATTGGTGGAAATATCTGATGAGGAGGTCATGTGAACAAATAATATTAGTAAGAATTTGTAATATTTTTATGACGATGTAGAGAGATATTAATATCATCACCACCTTGACTTAAACCAAAAAATCTAATTATATTTGCATGATAATTAATCTTATTAAGTAAAATTAACTATTTTGTTTCGTGTACAAGTGAAAATGTGAATTAAATAAATTTTAAATAATCGAATTTATTATTATTATTATTATTATTAGTAGTATTGTCATTACCTCGTTTACAAATCTTTCTATTAATTTATGATTGATGTTTTCATAATTTATATTAAAAGATTTTAGAGCTAAATGTTGTTGATTTTTTTTCCAAATTGCCCAATATAATTTATTTTGAGCATTTTGACGTTGGGGTATTGGAGTAATTTGTTCGAATGACTGGTATTCAAAAAACTGGATATTTTCATTTTTTAAAGTTGTTTCTAACCATAATTTCGTTGCCATTATTTTTGAATCTAATAATGAATCAATCTATTAAAATAATGAGTAAAATAAATTTTTTAAAAAAAGATTTTTTTTTATTTATTTTTATTATCGATAAACATTCTTTATTAGGAAATACACAAATTTTAGGGGACAGAAGGCACCTTCTATTTTTTTTTTTTTTTTTGAAGATTCATGATCTCTTTTTTTTTTTCCTAATAAAAGACTCGAGATAAATTTGAGAAGGTTGAGAAGGAAGCAAGTATCATCACAATTAATTGAATGAGATCACTAAAACTTATTAAAAAGAATCATTCTAACTAAAATTACTTTCTACTTATCTCGCAGCGTAATGAAACATCAAAGTATTACTTACAATCGTTTTTTTTTTTTTGACAAAACAGTTAAATAAATAATTTAATTCGTCAAAAAGATTAATATAAGAGGTAACTCCATATAGTAACGGAAGTCTAAAAATAGTAAAATAGGTTTTAATGCAGTGTCATGTGATACGTATTATATCATTGTGTGACCTATTTATCACGTGGCACATAATAATAAAATTCCTTTTTTTTCCATACTATTTATTATATATACTAAGCAATCATATTAATATCGATGATGTATTATCTTTTCTCATCTTAGATGTTGTAACATATCTGACCAAAGTAATCGCATTGAATGAAAAGACTCGGACCCAAAACCATTTATTAGCACTACCTACCTTCTCCGAGCAATATTGTTTCATTGAAGAACAACCGAGGAAAAGCCTGATCAATCATCCAAAATCGCTTCTAAAAGTAAGCATTTTTGTTAATAATACTATTATAATCTATCTGAGAATGAGCGAATTGGCGATGTTTTTATAATATAACTAATGCAAATAAACAGAACTAGAGTTGTGTGGGTCTTTAAAAGATCAGTCATTTTGAACCATGGTTTATTGGACTAGTGAATCTTTCTCAATATGGAGATTTCGAATTTATCTTAAAAAGTTTTATTTATAAATATAAATAACAATTTATAATAAATAAATTTTGCACCAACATTGTGATAAATGAAACGGATTTATCAATCGTATGTTGGAGATGTGACATAGCCACTTTCGTTTTTATATCTTATATTCGTATTTTTATTTATTTATATTTTATATTATTATTACTTGTATATATTTACTAATAATTATTACAAGTTCTCAAAAGCTTTCTAGATACAAGAAATAAGCAGTAAGCGGGATAATTGTAATTGACGAACATTGTACATAAAAGCTTGCAATTAATCCACGAGTATGACTAAAAAGTCAACTCAAACTCGGCCATAAAACTTAAAATAATCGAGATTGACCAAAAGGCCACCTTCGTAATATGTAATTCACATCAAAATACTATAGTAATAGTAATGGTGACAGTGGTTGATATTTGGATATTAGCCGATCATCAATTATTCAAAGAATTTTTTTACATCAACCATATTTTTTTTTAGAAAAACCATTCGTTCAAAAAGAATTAGATTGAGCTTTTTCTTTTAGCTGTCAATGTATTACCAGTATCACTTCATTTTATATATTATAAAACTAAGAATAACTTATCCTTTCCATTGTATAAATAGAATTAGAAGTTTTAAAGTGTTCCATAAATTTTCTATCAAATACGATAGAGCTTGGATCCGGATACCTATTGTTTCAAAGATCTTATAGCGGGTCAATTGGCCTATCGACTCTTTGAATTAGGAAAAACAAAGCATCTGAAAATATTATTTTATCGATCATTTTGTATACATTTAACCAATTATTTATTGGACAAAGAAGAAATAATTTTTCATAAAGTGGGATTCTACACCACCTTTTGAAGTAGAAGGTCCTTGAATAATTTCTACTTTACGTCTTTGTAGAATTAAATAATTTAAACTTGTATTTAAGGACTTAAATTACCAAAACTTTTTAATAAATTTTGAATAATTAAAATAATAATAATTTGCCGAGAAGTAGATTATTTTTTAATGCTCTTTGAGTTGGTGGTTTAACTACTGATGTAATATATGAAGTTTATGAGCTTGCTATACCATGGCTAGCAAGATGTATACGTATGGTCCTTTTGTTTCCAAACCGCATTGATTTGTTGTAATCATCTCGATATTTGAAGGTGGGCCGAAACCCAATCTCCTGACGTAAGTATTAAATTTAGGGAAGCATCTGGCTTGTTGCCATAATTTTTTTTCGAAATTCTGACGAAATACTTGCAAACTCCCCATAGATTTTATAAATATAATGTTTTATTCATTAATTTCCTTACCATTCAAGAAAAACGGCCAAATCCCAACTAAGCTTGTCCCCCGTAATCAAATATCAATGTTGCAACATACCCACAACTTTACGTATTATACATAGTGTTGCAACATAATCACGATGCAGATAGACCAATTTTCTATTCATATTGTCCCTTTTTTAAAAACATTATTATTATTATAAACATTTAATATTTATTGAAATGCAATTATTATTAGAACAAAACAAACACAAAAAAATTGAATTCATTTATCTACTCATCGTCTAATCGCTGCAAATAAGCTTTCAACCATATCGCCATTGTCGTATATATCGCTTTTCTTTAAGGTGGTTGATTGAAAAACATGAAAATGTAAAAGATATGGTCATGCATCTTTAAAAAATGACAAACACGGCTTACACGTAACTTCGTAATGTCCATTACCAAGATGGTTACCACACGTAAAAATATTCACAAATATCACTATATTTAGACCAAGTTTATTTTTGTTATCAGTCATCTTTAATTATTATATTCGTGGGAGAAAAGAAATGATATAATTAGAAAATAAGGATCATGATCTACTTTTTATTTGTATAGCAAATATTACAACATTACATTATGGTTAGTTGCAACACCGTAATACTGTAATTTTACATTACGGGTGCCAATACTGATCTAACGGAAGGAGGCTTTACACATGAAGCGGACAGTTTGATGGGATCACTTGAAAATTTTGCAGGATTTTTTGGCCAACAAATGTATATAAAATCATGTGACGGTTTTATATCAAATTGAGAAAGTCTTGGCCGACCAAATGACCAAAAAAATGTTTTACCACGGCCAAATGCCAACATTGCGTTAAACTAATTTTCATTTTTCGTTTCTTTCCACACCTTGTAATTCTATAAGATTTATTACTGACTAGCTAATTATAACAATGAAGACGATTATAGTGATATGTTAAACCTTACAATTTTGTGCACATTCATTTCTTTTGAAATATCGAGGAATTCATTGGATTCATCATTCTCATTGCTACCAATATCAACACTGATAACAAATTGAAAAATAGATCCATCAATCACATCCTTTTAAAGAAAGGCCATATACAAAAATATTATTTATAACTGATAATAAGCATTCCAAGGTACAGAAGCTGCACTTGTATGCAAATAAGGAAATTCATCCTTTCTATCATCCCACCAAACAAACGGATCCACTTGTCTGTGAGCAGTTGACAAAGGAAGGTACTTGTCATATCCATTTTTGCATTTCTTCATATTCGCTGGAATTATTTCTCAAAGGAAGTATTATGTTTTTCGAGTGAGAAGGACTGTTGCTGTTTTTCTTTAATGGATTTTTTAAAATTCCTAATATTCTTAAACGTGTATTATTATCAATAAATTTCAAAATGTTTGAATCGTGGAACTGATCAGATTAATAATGGTTTATAGAGTATTGTATAATGTTGAAATTGTACTTTTTTGTATAATCTATCAATGTTCACAGGATTTGAATATTAATTTTTTCCCCATTATCCTCCTTAAAAAAATTTGGACATCTCTATTTCCATTGGCGACAATGAAGATGGTTCTTCATTTAAGAATTAATTTGTGGAACAATTCTATTATATCAATTGTTACATAAATTAAAGACGGTGCGACAAATTTGCTACCACTCGACGTTGTGGTAATGGTATTAGATCGACCTAAAATCTCGACAAGATCATTAATTAGTATTATTATCACTCAACAAAAATGTTCTTTTGGTTTCTCCGTCTATATCTAATTCCATATGACTTGTCAAAGAATAATGGTTTTTTAAAGTGTAATAATAACTGTACCTATGCCTTGTATGTAATATTCCAACGTGTTACTACACCACATACTGGTTTTAATGGTCTTCTGTGAGTTTCTCTCTAATGTTTCCAATCGCTTTGGAGAAGGAAAAAAGAAATAAGTATTTTGACTTTAAAAACCAGAGCTTTAATATCATCATTACAATTTAAACCCTTTTTATACAGAGTTGAAATGTGTGAGCTGAACATGAAACTGTACCAACATCTAAAGAATCATTAATGCATAAACCATATTACTACCATTACCAGTGACGTTGCTTATTGCTTTAAAAAAATGAAAATAAAAAAAATGGTAATTTTCTATTCAATTCCACTCTCTTGGCCCATTTTCTAATAATTCTTTTATAATTAAACCTGCGCGAAGAGGATATGACACATCAACTAAATCCAAAAGCAATTTATTTGGTGATAACCATGCACATGTTATTTCCATATAGCCTTTTTTTTTATTATGAAGCATATAGACAGACAGTTACTAAATAAATTATTTTGAAGTTCATCAATTGAATGATTAAATATGACTAATAGAGATTCTTTGCGCATGAAATTTTAAAATCTAAATTGAGGGAATGAATAAATTCTGAGTATTTTTACTTGAAAGATTTTTTTGCAAGTTGTTCTGATCATTTGTAAGTGGTGGAAATCGCATTATGAATCAAACATTCTCTCAAATTAATTATACATCTAATAAGATTAAAATCATATAAAGATACCTTCACTGTGTGCTTTCAATTGGGTTGGATATTGCTTGGGTGTAGACTATTTAGTCATGTGATATGGAAAAAAATAATTACAGGGTTCACCATTATTTAACCTAACAACGCATTTCCAACCATCTGGTCAATTTCGCCAATAAACCTCGTAAAAAGTCTTTAAATATTTGTATCATTTGGAATGCCACCAATACCGATAGTACTTGATTCCATTTCTGTGATTGATGATAACGACAATTTAAAGAATAAATTTATAATGTATGAAAATTTTCAATCCTCATATTTTAATATGTACACTTTTGAATTTCAAAATCGTGAAATATACCTTGTTCGTATAATTTAACTAAGAACAATAATGAAACTAATTATATTGATTGTTTTGAAATATCTTTTTTTAAATTACAATTATAACAATGACTATTGCTCTTTTATTATCATCACAACAAACTAATGTTTTTCCTTTTTTCTCTTGTAATTATAACCAATGATTTTATTTGTAATTCATTACATTCCATAAAAACAAACAAAACAAAACATGTTCAAATTGTATTTACATATGAGCTGATTTTGTTTGAACCCCAAAATTCAGTGCAGTACGATCATAACGTTATGAATACTTTATACTAGCAAAACCCCATTAATTTTGAGGTGGGGCCATTGGTTTGACAGGCTGTTGAATAGTAAAATAGTTTTTTTTAGAGTTAATTATCATTCTACTGACCAGTTCACACATTAAAAATACTCGTGTTTAACGTCGAGACACAATAAGATATAAGGTTTGAAAAAAGGATCCGAAAAACCAAATCGGCTGATATGAGTATCCGAGTTTAAAACACATATGTGGTTGGGTCGACGTTGATACTTCAAACAACTTTTACATGGTAACTGCGCATAAAAACAAAATGAAACTACGTTTGAGTTATCTTTAGTGTCTGGGGTTTGAAATATATTGTATGTAGGATACTCTTGTATAGAATATGAACAATTTTATGTGCAGGGCTTGATTTCAAAATTTAAAAAAGGCTATAAAGAACAAATAATATATATAGTACATCCAAAATTCCGTGAATAGAAGTACATATCCGAATACACGCGGATCATTTTACTAATTTGTAAAGGGCGCTTTTTATATTATGCAACCACACATCAAGTAATTATTCTTTTCGTTTGCCATTTTTGGTAATAAAAAATTAGAAACTTGACTCTGTTCTCTATTTATGGATAATTACATTAAGAATGACTAAAAACGTATTAAAATTTTTTGAATTTGTGTTTTCTAATAAACATAGTAATTGATCAATATCGAAGCCAACAGATTTGTTTAACAAATTAGTTGAAACAATAAATTAGTGACAAATTAGGAAATTCATTAACCTTTGTTGTCCTAATATTTACCAATAAAATGAAAGGGGGAGGAGTATAAAAATAAGCAAATGACTGTAGTATTATTGAAAAAAATTTTAACCGGATTCTCAATTTTTTTATTATATTGTTTTTACTTGTTATAATTAATAACAATATTAATGACAATATTTCTCTCGTTAAATTAATATTATTGTCATTATCACTCGATTATATCACTTTCTGTCAATTTTCCATTATTCTCTCAACCAAGAATTATTTACTGCAATAATGAGTAAATTTGAAGTTTCAATTATAACATCACCAACAACAACGTCGGCATCATCATTTTCCACTTCATCATTTACAACAGCAACAACCACGATCGCACCTAGTAACAATGAAGATGAAGATCTTCTTTACAATTATTTAGAAAATTTCCAATTCATAGAGTTCTCGTCGATTGAAAAACTTCATCCGTATACAGGAAATAAAGATATTAACGGAATTTATACTAAAAAAAAAAATAATAATAATAACAATAATGACAATGATCATAAAACTTTACGGGGATATTGGAGATTTGCAAAATTAAAAGTAATTTTAAAAAAAATCGAGTCAATAAAAGACGAAAAATATTTCGAAAAGGTAATTAATTTCTTTATTTACAAATATTAATTTGAATTTAACAAATGAATTGTAATCATTGTTATACATATATTTGTTATTTATAGTTAAAATTATTACACAAATTAAGTTTACATTCAAATCTTATAGCAATTTACGGGTACACTGTTACGACAGGTAATTAGATAGTAAACAAAATTGATTTAACGTATATTAATTATACTTGTTGGTTTTTTAAAATTTTTAAATGAAAATGCAACAATTTTTCCACGCATACATACATAATTTTAGATAAATCAAATTACTATATTGTAATGCAATATGCAAATCAAAATAATTTACAAAGATTTTTGGACGAAAATTTCGATAAACTTGGAAAGAAAGAAAAGATTGACATGGCATACGATCTAGCAAACGGATTGAGTTTTATTCATAGTAATGATATTGCGCATAATGCTTTGGTATTTATATTTTTTAATTTTACACGAGATTTCCCTATCATTTCCACTTGCTAATTTCTTCATATCTATTTTTTATTATTAATTGATTATAGCATGCTAATAATATAGTGATACATAATAAAAGGTTATTAATAACGGATTTGTTTCTTTCCAAATCAATAATACCCGATATTAACGATGACAACCTCACTAACAAAAACGACGATAATAAACTTATGGCATATAATGATCCAACATCGTCGTCAATATCGTCACCAACAAAAAAAGACATTTATAGTTTAGGTGTGTTAATGTATCAAATATCAAGCAATAAAATACCACTATCAACATATTTATTATATAACTGTTACAATAATAAAAATAACAATAATAACAACGACCCAAATAATCACGGTTTTGTCGATGAAAAATTTTCAAGAATGTTTGAAATAGAACATGCAGAATCAATGGCTAGTGTACCGGTAGAATATATAGATTTATATGAACAATGTTGGGACAATGATCCAAGTGTTAGGCCGGAAATTGAAACTATTTTGGAGAAATTATCAAAACTGCAATCAATTGCTGTCCAAGCTAATTATACTAACAAAGGCATTAGTGGTGGTGGCGTTGTTAGCAGTACTACTAGTAGTGGTAATAGGAGAGATGTTACTAGTAGTAACAATAATCACACTATAGTCGAGATTAGCGCAGGTAAATTATTAATAAACTATTTATTTTGTGGATATTTTACCTTCTTTAATCCTTTGCTAATTAGCTTTAATTTTTTGTTTGATTATTGTTTATTTTTAGAGGTAAATATGAATTATTTTTTAAAAACCAATTTTTTGTCATTCATAAAAAATCCAATCCTTTACTTATTTATTTATTGTTGTTATTTATTATTATTGTTGTTGTTAGGAACGAAAGAGACAAGTAAATCGTGAATCATTAAAAAGAAGAATAAAATTTGGAATCTTTATATTTTGGATAGGTTTGATTGTAGTGTTAGGAATAGGATTAGTTTGTTATTTCCTAGTAAAAAATATAATTGGGTGAATGAATCGTAAATTTTAGTTATTTGGTGCGATGTGTATATATTATATAATAATAATATTTTAATTAATTACCAATCATAGTAGTACCAATATTAAAATAAGATTTATTTGTGAAATCACATAAAGAAAATTAACCTTAGACATTGTTATTAAAATAAAGAAGCTTTGTTGTTGTTGTTTTTGTTTTTGTTGTTGTTGTTGAAAAGCCATTTAATTTTTTATTGTTACTTCCTTTGTCGTAATTTAATTAAATTAATTAAACCAAATACAGAAATTAAACATCAACACCATGCCATCAATTCTATGGATGCAATCATTTTGTATCATCAACATAGACAAGCAACATAGATCAACTCGACACAATCGACAATTTATTTGTTTTTATCATTATTATTATTATTATTATTATTATTATTATTATTATCAAGTCTTGCTCACCCACGATATTAGATAGAATCCCACCATAAAATAATATTTACACCATCATATTTTCAAATTTACTATAAACCACCAATAAAATCTTCAATGTTTTTTTTCGTTATGCGTTTTGTTTGAGCTGGGAAATAAAGGTTTCTTTTTTAATTAATTTAAAAAAATTAAAAATTAAATTGCTATTTCCATTTTGGGAAAATTCGAATCAAAAATCCTTAAATTAATTAATTATGCAAATTTTTTACCTTTCTCTCTACATAAGAATTATAACAATAATTGTATTTTCTTTGTTGCTTCAATGTTTATTTGATTTACGTACGATGAAGATTATTATTATTATTATTAGTTTTTGTATATGAAAATAAAGAAAAATTTCCATGAAATTTCTTAATTAATTAAATAAATTAATAAACAAAAAAAAATATAAAATATAAAAACCAGTTTAATTCTTGATTTTCTAAATTAATTAATTTGTTATTTAATTTTATCTTTTCATTTTTAAATTTATATTTCTAAAAAAAAAAAAAAAAAAAACTTTAAATTTTTTTCAACAATTCCAAAATATCTTCTTCAATTCAAAATGAAATTACCAATTCTAAACGACGATATAATTATACAGATTATTTTAAAATTGATAGAACCGTCAGGTTATTTATTTGCCACTTCTAAAAGTAGTATACAAGATTTATATTCATGCATTTTTGTTAATCGTAATTGGTGTAGGCTTGCAATGCCATTTCTATGGACTCGACCTTTCCACCTTTACGATGACGAGAAAAATGAAAAAGTCATTAAAATATTTTTACGATTCTTGAGCGATAAAGAAAAACAAGAATTATTAAATCAAGGAATTGACATTGATATCTTGTTACAAGACGACGTTTATAATTGTAATTATAATTATAATTATAATTATAATTATAATAGTAATAGTAATAAGAGGAATGATAATAGTAATGATGATAATAATAATAATAATGGCCACAATAGTAATTGCTATAATAGTAATGACGGAAATCACTCGCCCGACTTTTGCACATCTTCCAACTCAAGCTTAAACCCGCATTCACTCTCACTCTACTCTTTCTATCCATCCTCTCCATTCATTCCATCTTCCTTCTCACTTCTTTTCCCGTATCCAAAATTCATTCGCTCATTAAACTACGAATCTCTCATAAAATCAGTAATGAATTTGTGTTCAGAATTATCAGAAAAAATTTCCACGTCACCGGATCGCGACGATTTGACTCCAGATGCTGAAATGATCTTGACTAAAGCAATGATGAAATTGTTTGTTAGGAGTAATGCAAGAATCGAGAATCTTTCGTTGTGCTCATCTGTCAATTACGAAAGTGATTTATACAATTTGGTGAATTACAACGAGCCTTACTATTTGATGAAAGATAAAGAAGTGAAAATTTTATTTGAAGGTGTCAAAAGTGTGGAACTACTTCTTGCAATCAGAAAAAATAGTTTAATCAAAATTTTGACCGACGTCTGCAAAAAAGTGGCAAGTAATTATTACTATAATATTCACAAGTATGTTTTTTGAAAAAAAAAAAACCAAAAATTTTAATTTTCTTTGGGCCTTTTTTTTGTTATTTTTCTCCAGGAACATCTACATATAGATACGTTATGGTCTCGACACCCGGAAGATACACACGTAGATTTATTTGGAGCCGAAATAACAACATTCATAAGATCACAAAAATCTTTACTAACATTTCGCTTGACAAAATGTAAAGGTTACACGCGAATATTCTTCCCCGCGTTATCATCACATAAATCATCATTACGTCAATTAACATTTAATCAAGTGGATTTCAAAGGATGCGATACATTGGAATTTTTGAATTCTTGCAAATCGTTGGAATTGCTTGATTTATATCAGTGTTTAAATATCGAAGAAGAAATGATTAAGCCGTTGATGGCGCATTTACAAGATCAAAATTTATCCTTGAATAATAAAAACAAAATGAACGCAAAGAAAAAGAAAATATTTGCTGATAATTTTCAAGCTAGATATATTAATTTGTCCAGAAATTGCAAAGAATTTGATAAATGGTGCGAAGAAATTAACAACATTCATAATAATAATTACTTTAATAATGGTGATAATAATAATAATCATATGACACATGATGATCATATAAATAATTATGTCGATAATAATAACGATACCATTATTAATACAATCGATAGAGAAAACATTGGAGTCTTTAATAATATTATTGTTAATAATAATAATGATAAACTAATCAGTAATATTAACAATAACGGATGAATTTCATCAGCAATAAAATTTTCTTTGCTTTTTTTTCCTTTACATAAAATTTTACTTTTATTTATCAATCATTTGTACAAACATTTATTTATTTTATTATTTTTAATAAACATTTGTAAATATTTATATATATATATACCTCCCAGACTTTGTAAAAATTAAATTATTTTATATGTTACACGTGAAAGAATATTTTCTTTTTTATTAGGCAAACAGGGTCTAAATGCTGTTTGTTATATGTGAAATTGTGAAATTTGAAATTAACCAATTAAATCAAGTATGGGAGTGAGCGTTTAGCTATATTTATACAACACTATTGCTATAGTAATAGATTAATTAATATGTAAACTTGGCCAGAAGGTCCTAGAGGCGATTTTTGCCAACCAATCAAATAGTCACGTTCTTGAGAATTAGACTAAAACACATATCATAAACAAATAATAATTATAATTGGAAAAGTCCCTATAAAAGTTTTTACGAACGGAAAACAGTGCATTGCAAAAATGTATTAATGACAAAAAGAAAACTTCCAGGAGGATGAAGGACAGCCTTAATATTGCTGGAAGCGAGTTTCTAAACGAATCATGATTCAAGAACAGTAGACTTGAATCGCTTTAGAATTATTATTATATTTTTCATTGTGGTAAGTTCAAACATCAATATTTTAAAAATTCTGGATTCTCGATGTGTTAATAAAAATCGCAGAACTTTATTAAACTTTATAAACATCATTTTTATTAATAATATAATATAATAATAATAATAATAATAATAAGTTTGTTTTGATATTTTAAGGCAACTTTTGATTATAGAAAGTCTGCACTATGAATTAATTTCGGCATTTCAGATTAATTAATATTAACGTTAAGGAAATCTGTATTATTAATATATGAGTTGAGCTCATTGTTATACAACATATGAACATTGTTCTCCTATTATATACATTTATATATTATTGATTAATAATAGAGATTATCTTTTTAATCTTTTTTATCTTGGGGAAAAAAAAAAGATCTTATAAAATTATGGAATAATTTTTATTGGTAATTAAAATTTTCCAAAAAAAAAAATTTTTGAAAAATGAGCAAAGAAAACGGAAAAGTTACAGAAGTAATACCACAATTAACACGTTCTTCTTCTTTTACTCACACGCACCCAAAAGCACTTAAACCTTTTGACTCTGGAGATATTAAAATTTTATTGTTAGAAAACATTAGTAAAACTGCAGTAGAAATTCTGACCAAAGAAGGATATCAGGTACGTGAAACTCGGTCGGATATCTTGTTATAAAATTACCAACTATTTAACATTATAAATCATTTATATTCTCAAAAAAAAGGTTGAATCACATTCAAAAGCTCTTTCAGAAGATGCTTTAATAGAAAAAATACGTGATGTTCATGCGATTGGAATTCGGTCTAAAACTAAACTTACACGTAAAGTGCTTCAAGAAGCTAAAAAACTTTTAGTAATCGGATGCTTTTGTATCGGAACAAATCAAGTAGATCTAGAGTCTGCAGCAAGACAAGGTATTGCAGTATTTAATTCGCCATTCAGTAATAGTAGGAGTGTTGCTGAATTGGTGATTGCAGAGATAGTTTGTTTATCAAGACAATTGGGAGATCGTAATATTGAGATGCACCAAAATAATTGGAATAAAGTATCTTCTAATTGTTATGAGATACGTGGAAAAACACTTGGTAACTAACTTTTTCATAAATTCTTGCCAAGCGATAATAAAATAAAGTATGTTGTATTAATTAAAGTTATTACGATTCAGGAATCGTTGGTTGTGGTCATATTGGTTCTCAGTTATCTGTTCTTGCCGAAGCAATGGGAATGAAAGTATATTTTCATGATGTCATTCAGGTCATGCCATTGGGTACAGCAAAACAAGTTAATACATTATACGAGCTTTTGGAATATTCCGATTTTGTTAGTTTACATGTTCCTGAAACAGAAGAAACAAAAAGCATGTTTGGTGAAGAAGAATTCCAAAGAATGAAGAAAGGAAGTTATTTAATAAATGCATCTCGTGGCACTGTTGTAAACATTCCAAGTTTAATTAAAGCTTTGAAGAATGGACATCTTTCTGGTGCAGCAATTGATGTCTATCCACGTGAACCTTCTTCAAATGGTCCAAACTTTAATAATGAATTAAGTAGTTGGACTAAAGATTTACTTGATTGTAAAAATTTGATCTTGACTCCACATATTGGTAATTAATATTTATATTTGTATTTTTATTTATATATATATATTTTTTTAAAAATATCTTTTTCATATTTACTACTTTATAACTAATTAGGTGGTTCTACAGAGGAAGCACAACATATGATCGGGGTTGAAGTAGCAAATGCGCTTTATAAGTATATTAATTATGGTATTTCTATAGGGGCTGTTAATATCCCAGAGATTGATCTTCGTGCTATTGATATCACAGAGAAAAATTCAATCCGTGTACTTTTTGTTCATCATAATGTTCCTGGTGTTCTTAAGGTAAAAAAAACCAATAATTTTTAAATATTAAATTTAATAAAAAGATAACATATTAATTAATATCTTAAAATTTAGGAAATAAATGATATTCTTTCTGATCACAACGTTGAAAAACAATATTCAGACTCTAGAGGTGAAATAGCCTATTTAATGGCCGATATCTCTCAAGTTGATGAAAGTGATATTAGGAAAATATATGAGAGTGTTAGTTCAACTAAAGCAAACATTTTAACTAGAATTGTATATTAAGAGACCTTTCTTTAAAAAACAATTTAATGGAAATTCCATAAGTAGATAATGTTAATAATTTTAACACATTAATGCATTTAAAAATAATAAATTTAAAAAATAATTTTTAATTAATTAATTAATTAATAATACATCTATTGCAAACTTTTTGAAAAGAATGATAAAAGATATTTTATACCCTAGGTGTCCAAAGCCCCATACTATTATTAGAAAAAAAATCCACATAGGATAACTTTCTTGCTAATTATTAAATTCAATACTTCATATGGTGATACCTCCCAGACAATTTGAATCTATTTTTTTTATTAAAAAATTTTTTCGATTTTAATTATTATTAATTCATTCATGATTATTGTTATTTCTGTTCATACATGCTACCAAACAATATTTTCATTATTAGATAAATAAATAAATAACTACAATCAATCAAAACTTGCTTGTTTCAACGAATTATAATTAAATTCGCGTTACAACGAATTTTAAAATGCAATTTTCTTAAATGTCCCAATAGATTCATTGAAACGAGGTTTATAAATAAATTGCCCTCATTATTATTTCAATTGATGAAAATGATGAAAATGATCCAGGAATCAAGAATAAAATAATATTATTAATAATGATAGTGAAAATCTAGAATAGATTTGCATCAGAGTGACCAAAGAATATATGTAATGCCCCTCAATGACTCTGGGTTCAAGTGTTTTCCTCCCATGCAGTTGCTCTGATGGTTTTTAATTATAAAAAATCATACTAATACATGTATTTTTCTTTTGGCTGAATTAAAACGTTATTTTTTTTTGTTGTTATTTAATTCTTTGTTCACACTATTGTATCATGCCTATTACAACATTCATGATGATTATTGAATGTATTTGATGTTATTATTCATAATAAATAATTGAATTGTCCAAGTAATAATAATACCAAGGAAAAAAGCTACATCCAGGTGAGAAAGTTGGCAGAGTTGGAAAATAATCCGTTGAGTCTCTTGGCTCCCCTCATTTTGTGTGTATGCATCTTTATTGTATGCAATTTCAAGTCAGAGTTTCTTAAAAAACTTTTCCAAAAAAATAAATTGATATTGAGCAGACAACATCCTGGCCATTACCAGGATATATTGTGACTTTGTGATTCTGATTCTAATGACTTCGGTTGGAGACGGTTAATTATTATTTTGAGTTGGTGGTTGAGATGATGGAGTTGGAGTTGCTCGAGTGAAGGTTGTTAGCTGTTTGTGATGTTGTCATTGATCCTATCTACATTTAATATTATGCATGGATTATTGTCAACATATGGAGTGGTGGATTTGGATCTACAGGTGCAGGATAAGAGGTCCAACGTCAACTCTGATCATAGGTGTCAGATTTAATAAAAAATTTCTTTTCACAAACAAGCAATTGTCTCTTCATTACTATAGATTTTTTTTCCACACGCGAACAAGTTGGAATGTTAATAAACTCCAACTCTCACCTGAAATTAATTACATCATTGTATCATCAGGGGATGAAGTCAGATTAGCCTTAAAATAAAATTTTTTTTTCGTGCTCCTAAAGAAACTATTGGTCCAGTTCAAGCTCTAATTATTGAGAAAAACTGATTAAATTTTTTTATGATGTACTTTACGAAATTCGACTGCGCTTCAACATAAACTAGTCTAATTTAGAAATTATCTTCAGTTAATTTCTAGATTTGGTTAGAGTATGCCGATTTCGCCGAAACTTTAAAAAATAATGTCTGGGTGTAATCTTTTTTTTAAAAAAAAGTCAAACTTTTATATTGTTGTAATCATTAATCAAAATTATTTTATTTTTAAAGGATAATAAATATGCTGATAAGTTTACATTGGGAGATGAATTTAAAACTATAACACTGACTTGGGAATTATTCTTGCTGTGTAGATTCAACCAAGTCATTTATAACACATAAATTACTGCTATTTATAACAACTAAATTACAACCAACAAAATATTTTCATTAATATAATTTTGAA